TACTGCATGTTCCTGTTCTCCATCTGCAGGCGCTTCTTTTTTCCTCCTCTTTTTCTTCTTTTGAAGGCTGTGAAATTTTGAGGGGAAAGCTACAGTAGAAAAGCGCCCTGCATGGTGACAAAGGTATGAGTGGGACTGAAGGCATCTGTTCAGTAGATCTCTGAGAAAATGGCTTCAGTAATGCTCCACAAGTTTCCCTTTTGTTTATGAGGAGTATTGAGATGATAGTTCTACCTTAGAGATCTCTAAATAGACAATTATACTTTGTACCAAGTCCCACTGCAATCTATGAGTCAGTATTGCTGAATATTGAATCTGTTAAAAAAAAAAAAATGCTGTGATGTTTTTGTAAACAGCATTTACTGCCTGAAATACAGAGTCAAAGCATGTCTCCTGTTGCAGTGAAGGGTGGGAGAAAGGAAGGGAGTAAAAATTGTTTGGTCTTAGGTGAATAAGATTGGGGAGTAGAGTGGCAGAAATACAAATGGCTTGATCTTTCACTCTTTAAAGGATCTATACCTGTAGGAATAAACAAAATGCTGATGCAGAGTGAGAATTTACTCTGTAAAAGGCTGTATGATGAGGCTCTCGACTTCAGGTGTTAAACTGTCAAAAAATCTTGTAACCTTCCAGGTGACTTCTGTTTGTGTTCTATTAAAAATCGCAGAAAACAGCGCTGGGGATTTGGATTTTTTTTTTCCTTTAATTATGACTTGGGCAGAGCGGGTGCACGTGGAGAATGTCCGCTTGCAAAATAACTCTCAGATGAATCTTCAAGACCTAAGCTTTCATGAGTGAACACCCACATGGAAATACACATTACTTATTAGTGGACTCTTCTCCTTCCCTGATCCTGCTCTAGATTAAGATGCCTCCTGCTGGGAATCTGCTCTGTCTGTGAGCCAGCTAACTTCTAGATCACAAGCTGTAGAAGGCTGAGGTTTGGCTGGAGGTGGCGTCCTAAGTCTTGGTCTAGACCTAAACTAAGGTCCAGCAAATGTAATCCATAAGGTTCATCTGCAACAGCCTTTGCTGTGCCGGGCCAATCTTAATTGTCTAGTGCCTTTCCGTCTTCCTGCTCCTTGCAAGAGTTGTTGCAGAAGCAACATGAGAAAGGCGTACATCGGGCATCTGACCAAGGGAGAAGGAATTTTTTTAATGCCAGGGGCAGGTGGTGTGTCGCACATTTGTGACTCCAGCTCAGCTTCTGAGGAAGAGAACTTGCTTAGGAGGTCTCTGATAGAAGTTGGGCTGTAGCATGTAGCCCTTCTCTGCGGCCCATCAGGGTGACACAGCTTAGGACATCTTAAGCATTAAATTAGTGAAACTCTGCAAATGAGACTTCTTATGCAAATCTAATTTTGGAGACCTCAGACACTTCTCCAGGAGTGGAGATTTTATATCACCTCTTTGTTTATGTAGTACACGATTGTCATATCAACTTCTGAGGGTGTTACTGACTTTATGGGGAAAGAATGGCCAGTACATATTCGTAGTTCCTGCATGTTGGGCTGATGATCTCCTGTGCAGATCAGAGATGACATGCAGAGACTGAGTGAGATTTTAAGTCGAGCTGAAAGGTATCTATCTGTTCTTGTTCATTTCAAGGGAGTACAGCTTTGCAGATCCTGGATAAGACTGCAGAAAGTTCATAGTAGCCAGAAAGGATGAGCATTTATCAGAAAAACAAGTAAGACTGGAACTAGAAAATAAGTAGGTGGTAAAGTAGAAATATCCTAATGGAGATTAGGGTGTTTATGTTTGGTTATTTGTATTTGCAGCACAGTGGTGGTTGGGTACAACCAAAAGCAGTAAGTTTGTCCTCTGGAAGGTGAGAAGAACTATAGAGATGACTATGCCCTGTCCATTTGTGCTGTGTAGGAAAGATGGGTGTGAGTGCACCCCTGAGGAGATGTGCTAAGCCTTCAGTGTGGGAGACCTTTTGTCCTTTGAGCAGCTCTATATACGTAAGGCACATACCATACCTGTACAAAGAATTAGGCCTCGGCATCTGTTCAGTAATCCCAAGTAGTGAAGGTGTTAGAAGTTCTGAAATACCCTTTCCAACAGACACTTGATGAAGTCATGTAAGACATATGAGTCAATTCATTGCTGCTTATGTTTCACATGTTTAGTTAGTAACTAATAAAGCAGTGCATTATACTTATTTATAGTATAAGGATCTTCTGTAGCAATAAACCTCAGTTCCAGCTGGACAATTGGATCCTTGTTCAGGTCCTGCTGGAGTTTCCTGGCTGTTTATATGGATGTTAAACAGTGCTTATAAATAGCTATCTCATGCTTCTGAATCTTTTTAATTGTAACTTTCCAGTGTCAGTTTGGGAAGCAGTTGCTTTGTGGTGCCTCCTCTGAGTTGGAAGACAATGTAGGGTGAGATAGCACCTAACCAATCCTATGTACCCTGATGGGGTGAGGATTGCTGAGGTCCAATTGAAATTATATTTGGAGAGTGGGAGAGTATGGTGAGGGGAGGGTTTATAGGCATACTTTCACTGTGCTGGTCAATACAGAGTTCTTAACTGTGGCTGCCATTTAACAGCCTTGCATGATTAAATCTGGCAGCATGTCCTGCTTCACAGTTACTGAGCTTGCTGTTGTGGTACGATAAATGTGCATAATTGTTGGTAAGTTGGCAATACTGTATTGAGCAATGATGTGCTCTGCTAAGAGTGTGAATTCTTTTTTAACCTGAAAATAGTTGGTTGTTTTGTAGTTTTATCAGCTGTTTAAGGTGTTCCTTGTTTCTACCTGTAGTATACTTAATTGTATATAAAGTGACGTTGTAAGGCTGCAGACTCAATAGGAAGTACAGATTCAGGATTAGGATAGTAACTTCCCTGGGTACATATGCTTGTAGTAGTTTCTGGGTGCTTGGTGAAAGTTTTGGAGAACTTCTGTTGTAGTCAGTGTGGGGGATAGACTTGGTCTGCAGGTGATTCTGAACTGTTGGACCACTGTCTGTCTTGCAGCAGCAATTGGAATGTACGTTATGAAAGAGGCAGGGGACTAAAATTGGAAGAAATTAGTTTCATCCAGTTCTGTAGGCTGACTGTTGTAGTTCTTGTAGTGCCGGGGAAAGACATGACAGTGCAGCGTCTCTTAACGGTTACTGATCGTGTCAGCCAGTCTTGCTTCCTGGTGATTTGACTTACCATTTCAAGTGCAGTTCTGTCCCATGGGAAGAGTTGAGGTTAAAGTGAATAAGGACTCTGATACTGCACAGAGGGACTGAGTTTTTATGGTTGTAGAAGCAACCTTAACTTCCTAAAGACCAGAGTTCTTGGTATATCATCTAAATGTTCTTATATTGTTGTTAATGCTTAGTGCCTCATCCCCTCCCCACTTCTAGTTTGTGTATTTAAAACAACAACAAAACCAAACCGAAAAACCCCAACAACTCACTCTTATCACAGGGTGGTTAAATTAACTTGTACAGACAGTAGCTGTTCGTGCTATTGCAGAAGTTAGAGGATGATAACATGTTAGTATATTGCGGAGTTATGTAAAGGTTTCTCTGCCCCAAACCTACCCTTTTTAACCTCTTCTCTACATGCCTTTGGGTCAGTGCCAGTTCCCCTTTGGGATCATCTCGTAAAGGTTGCTTCCCACAAGCACTGTCCCAGTCTGTCTGCCTAGTCCTTTCCCTATCAGTTTGCTCACATGGTTTCCTAATCTCTTATCAGTTTTTCCTAGCCCCTGCTGTTTTCCCTTCTGGTCCTGACCTTTATAGGAACGTAAATCCAACATATTATTTTCTTTTTTTTTCTTCTGCTTCCTCCTAGTTGGACTCACTCTTCTGTATTCCTGTGGAGCTTGTTTCATGTGGCTTGTGTTTTGGTGGGGGAAAAGGTGCCTTTTTTTTTAAGGGGTAATGAGAGTTGGGGATGAAGGACTTGCTTAGTACGTAGAAGAGACTGCCTGTACCCTAGAGTAGCCGCTTGCACGGGAGGTCCAGCATTGATTCTCTAGAATTGGACCAAAGAAGCTGTGCTGAGCCACTCTGTGGAAGTGACAAATAATTTGTCCAGTGCTAGATGATTGATTTTGAGCAAATCTAGCAAATGGGAATTTTGAGTTCTTTAGCCTCCTAATACAAAGTTCTTCAGTGATCAGTAGGTATTTCAAGGGGTTTTTGTTTCTTTTCTTACTTCTCCACTCTTCAGAAGTTTTAACATATGACCAAGTTTCTGTGCATTGTTACAGCATCTGAAGGGTGCATATCTGATGGAGGGGTTAACCTTGACCAAGTTCTTGGTACCTGCTGTGAAGAATGAAGGGCCAAACTGCTTTTTTAAAAAAAGAAGTTAACATACCTGAGCAGATCTGAATGTATGCGTAAGCATCTAAACTCTGACAAATGCAAAGTAAATTTAAGTTAATATAGACTGGATTGCACGGCCTTGGTACAGACATGCCACAGTAAAACCAATCCAGCCAAGTGCATCCTGTTTTTATAAGTAGTGTTGGATTCGTGATGCTGTATGTGAAGTAGCCTGAAGAGAGTGGAATGGATTACATAACTTGCCTGCTGACTCTTTAGAAAATACGAAATTACTATGTCAAAAGTGGACTGGACAGAGATGAGATTAGAGAAATATTAATTTAAAGAGCTTGAGTTAGTCAAGCCTGACACTACTTAAGTTTCAAACTGTCTTCCTCTGTACGTAACTAGAGTTCAGATGCATATTCTTATAGTCTACTGTTAGAAAAACAAGATTTTTAAAATATAAGCCTTCAGTACAGAAGTCCCTTCTCATCAAGGAAGAACGATGCATTTTGTCATTGTTCTATTTAATATGAAAGGAAAGATGAGTCTGAAATGCAAAATGCAAAACTGACTGTCCAGATCTGAGTGTGAATTTGAGTTTTGCTTTAGGGTTGTCCTTCTGCAGTGGTGTTCAGTTGATTTGGCATGTGTTTTACTTTTTTCTTTTTTTAAGGTTACTTCAATAAAACAACATAATGTTTTTACTTGCAGCACTTGAAGAATCGGAAAGTGACATTTATGTGCGATTCATGAGGTCACACAAGTGTTATGACATTGTTCCAACAAGCTCTAAGCTTGTTGTTTTCGACACTACGCTACAAGTGAGTATTCTCCTTTCAGTCTGCCTTTGCTTGCACTTGATTTTTTTTAAATTTCTGTTTCCTGAGTGTTGAATGAAATTTGATCTCTTGAAGAGAAATTCTCCCATAATGCTGTGCCTTGACTGTACAAACCATATTGCTTCAGCTGTATCGTTCACGCTATACTTGAGGAGGAGCTGGGGGAAAGACTTCCTAGCAGAACAGAAAGAGAGGATAAAATTTGTTTTGTAGTTGGAATCACTGTCTAAACTTTCAGACGAGCCCAAACTTATATTGGCTTCTTCATGGCTATCAGAATTTACATAAAGACATTTTAGGTAAAGGTCCCTGTGCAATAGCTGAAGAGTATTCAGGTGTTTTGAGCCTGTTCCTGCTATATTGGTAAGACAATGTAGGACTAAAATGGATGGCTTAATTATGCTAATTATTACATTCTCCAGAAAATTTTTGTTTTCAGTTTCTCATTTTGATTTTAATCAGTAAATCATCTGCTAGACTCTTGGCTTTGTCTGAAGAGGGTCTTTTGCCAAAAGAAGGCATTAGCTGCCTGCTATAGAAACAGACTAATCTGTTCTGCAGTGTGGTAGAAAGCTGTGGCTTTCTTTTTGTTTCCTGGATTTTGCAATTGGTGTGTTTTGGCTTGCTTTGGTTTTTGTTTGTTTCAGTATGTTTTTCCTTTTAAAGATGCTCCAATTCTGTCTTTACTAAGCTCAGTTAAGTAATTTAGGTCTGGAATGTACTGCTCAGTTAGATTTCAGCTTTCCACAGTCAGAGGCAACCACATAATGGATCCTTGGTCCCAAAATGTTCCCAGAACCATCTCGAGTATCAGATAATCTTATATAATGCTAGGTTGAGTGCTGTGACCTAAAAGGTGGAAAGCCTACGTTGCGCAACAAGGATAAGTAACGGGGTGGAGCAAGAGCACTGCACACGTGTGTTTGTACAAGGACCAACAGCATCCTTCTTGAGTTCTGCAGCATGGCCAAGAGCACTGGAGCTTCAGTTACTGCTCAGTACAAAAAACACAACTTGTAACTTGAGCACTGGACTTTTTCAGTTATCAAGGCGTCTCATTAGTGAGGGAGTTTCCTTCATCTGTTGACCCTATTTAGGCTCTGAGTGCACTGAGGCTTCAGTGTGTTGGCTCTGATACCTTGGCTGAGTCCTTAAAGGTAAGTGTCCTATCCAGTACTAGTATTATGCTAAAACTTGAGCAGGGCTATGGTTAGGATTCTGCCTGTGTGCCAGAGGACCTCCTTCTGCTGACTTCTGCTAGTCAAGAAGGCAACGCTGAATGCAACAGTTGGTCACTAGTGTCTCATGTCAGGTGGTTATCTCCTGTACCCAGAAAGCCAGACTTCTGGAAACTTAAGCACTCTGATATCAATGGAACAGTCACTTTTTATTTCCCCAGGATTCTTCCTTGTGCTTTACTGGACACTAGATTTTGTAGTGAAAAGAAACCTGATCTGTGATAAGAGATGGAAAAAGGTAGCTTGTAGTCTTGCAGGAAGAACCTTCAAGCACATGGACATCAGTCCTACAGAGTTGAAATGTTCACATTGTTGATTTTCTTTGTATATTCCACTTCTTGACTGTTTTGATATAGTCTTTGAACTGCATCTGCTCTTGCATTTCGCCAGTCATATGGACTCTGTGCAAGCACGAAGCTCTACTGAAGAGTATCTGTTACTTTTAGATATAATAATAAGGAATGCTTTTTGCCACATACCTTTTCAGAGATTTCTTTTTTTTGTCTCTCAGAAGCTTGCTTCTTTGGGAGGTTGATTATGTTGACTTTTTCACTCTCTCAGAGGGAAAAAGTTCTGCAGTTTTTCCTTTCTTCTGTCCAAAAGAGAGAATGACTGTCAACTCTGGACTAAAGAATTCAGACTCCTTTGACGTGAAGGGTCAAATTTGAGATGGCAGTGTTTACTGTCACTCGCCTCTTCTCGAAGACTATCGGCTTCCTTTTGATTTCCAGGGAATATTTGTTCTCACACTAGGAGATACTCTGTTGGGAGTTGGTACCTGCAGCTTGTTGGCGTGACACACACCCTCTTGAGTTCTCAGCTGTCAGTGGTCATCTGGGTCAAAGGCTTAAGCACAGTTGCAATTGAAGATGAATTTTCTTTATTCCTTCAACCAGTTAATCTTGAGGCCATTGGGGCAGGTCACCCATTCCTTTTGGATTCCCTCAGACCTCTTGACAAACTGCATAAAATCATGCCAGATACCAGTTTTCATTGCTGGAGCTGTGTTGAGATAATACTCTTAACGTAAAGAAACTGGAGTTTCATCTCCAGTTGGTGAGCCAGTGTGAGGTAATACTTGGAGAAGCAGAGCATGAGTGAATGAACCTTGTGAATTTTCACCATAAAGGAAAACAGGTAACTTAATGGTAATGGAAAAACTTTCACCAACACTGCCCCAAAATCGCTGTCTTATTTGGGATCCCTAATGATGGTCATGGGTTACGAGTGGAGAAGAACAAGGCATGCCTTGGTCTATGATTGTGGGGTCATATTCTCAGTCTGCTTCTCCAGGTATTTGAAAGCAGTAGTGGTAGGAGGGGAGTCTGTAGTTATGAATTCAGACTCTGGTATATGACAAATGTGGACTGTATCTTGAACCTGGATTAATGGTGAGATTTTTTTTTTTTCCTCCAAACTGAATTTTTTGGACTTTGCACCATTACATTTAATGCCAGTTGCATTAATGTTAATTTATGAAGTCATAATATAAAGCAGTAGTTCTCTTCCAGCATTGGCACGGTCTTCCAACTTTGCGGGTTTTGCAACAGTAGTAAATTAAAGGGTTATTTAAGGAAACATTAAACAGATTGATCTGAATGCTTATCCTGGGCTACACTGCTAGGAGGTCTAAATAATTTTTTCAGTATTTCCCTTTGTAGTTCTTTACCTAGCACCTCGTATTAATGTTCTGCCTTCAGTATCTTCAAAGTACATTCTGTGTCTTCAGCTTGATCGTTGTGGCTGGTGCATGTACATGAGCCTGGAATGTAAAAGTAGAATAGCTTTTTTTTTAAAACAGCTGAATAATTACATGGTGGACAATATACCAAATATGGTTAGTCAAACAAAAACTTGTAAAATATTCTTCATGTTTTAATTTTTAATACATAAATTACTTATTTTCCAGTACTTCAGGACTTTCTATCAGTTCTTATTTTGAAAACGTGGCACGCAGCTTTGTGAAACACTCAGTGTCCATGAATCCTCTCAAACTGAGATGATTTTTGCAGATTATTTGTCTTCCCTGGATCTATTTCACTCCTACCCACATCAGTGTTTCTCTTAATTTAAAACAAAATGAAACAAAAGCCTGGTGCCTTGAAAAAGTTCTTCAAATACTTGGATTCAGGTTTTTAATAATGCTAGAGCTAAAACTGAGTATACAAGGGCTTGCTTTTTGCCTCCCTTAGTATAAGCTAGTAGCAGTTAGTCGAAGAAGGGAAAAAAAACCTGAAGCTCTGTTGTGTTCTGATGGCATCCTTTGAAAGGTTCTGCTGTTGGATTTTTGTGTGACTATAGTATCCCGTCTCCCTCTACTGGTCATCAGCCCCAGCACACATCACATGTTTCTGCCGTGGAAAATTATTCATGAGATACTGTGGAAAGTATTCTAAAACTGTTGTTAGCTGTGGGAAAAATTGAGATGTTAACTTATATAATGTGGCACAAGTCACACTGCTAAAACAACATCTATTCATAAAAGTAAATGTTTAGTCTCAATGTCTTCAAGGGATTTAGTGTAAAAATTTGTGAGGAATCTTGTTTTAACCCTGAATAGGAGAGGAGATGGTAAGGTGCCGTTACGTTGGAAGCAGAAAGAAGGCCTTAAATAGCAGAAATAGTAGCTGATAATCAGGAATGGGCTGACAGTCTCTTCAGTCCTGCCTGTTTGCAGTCAGAAGATTTGGGGGCCTCTCGATTCCAGCAGCTACCTTGCTGCTTCCAGTGCTAGCACACCAGTCTGGTCTCGCGTGTCAAGGACACACGTGTGTGCAACTGGCACCTACACTTGGCCGCTGTGAAAGCAGTGGTACATCTCATGTGCTTCCGTTAGGCATCAGGTCATATGGTAAGGGAGAACTGTGCTGTGCTTCAGCTGGAGAATGTGCCACTTGGCACAGACTTGAGCAGCATCTATACTAAGTAAACAAAATGTATGGAGCTAAGGTCTGCTTACCTGCCTCAGGCCAACCGGCCCAGCTCGGTTTACCTTGGTATAGCTTAGCTTATATTTCCCACAGAACAGAGTATCTGCATCTAGTCTGCCTACCCAAAATGGTCCCTAGCCTGTGCTGAACCCTGAGAAGTGGCAGATGTTGGCTGGGAGAGTGCTAGCTGGCACAGGTCTCTGCATTTAGACTGACAGGGGACTGTTCTTTCACCCTTTTAGTTTACTAATACAGATGGAGCCTGTAAGTATTTGCTCCTCCTAAATATTTATAGAATCATATTGAACTACAGTGCTGAGACTTTCCCTTGCCTGTGACCCATGAATGCTCCTTGTTCGTGACAAGCTTCAGCCTTTTGCTTTTCCCAGAGAACATGCTACGTTTGCTTGACGCACATTAAAGAAATTTCTTAAAGTCTGATCTGACCAGGAAGGGAGTCAGGAGGCAATTAGATGTTATGAGCTATCCTGTGAAGTTTGAAAATTTGACTCTGTGGATGATGGGGAAACTGGGCAAGTTGCAACAGTGTGCAGCTCGCAGTGGATAAACTGTCTTTCTAATCTCTTGCACATCTCCCAAGATGCAAACAATAGGAGAACAAACACTTCACAACCGCTTTGAGGGGGTTAGGAGGGTTGTCCCCTGAAGGGCTACTCTATGAATGAGCATTCACTTATTGTTCTTCATTCTAATTATTCAATAAATGGATCTGGATTATCTTTATAATAGACTCCAGGAAAACACTGAGCTGAATATGGGTTTACTGGTTACCGGCTTGAGTCGTCAGCACAGT